TCATCACAAAATGAATTGCTCTACAGCACTTCATTAAAACCTGACCTGCCAATAGTCAAACTTGTCCACATCAACGCCGTTTTTTTTGTGACACAATTCGTAGAGAAGACTTTTCTTTGCGCCCTTCGTACGCCACTGCAGGATGACGACACAAAGCGAATCAGGACCAGTTTTATTAACACGTATGTTGTCAATGAATTTACACTGCATAGAAAACATATGTAGGACCATTCACAAAACAGAGATAAAGCTAAAATATGAACACAATAAACTATGTACAAAAAAGCATGACAAATTAAACAGCAGGTCCAATTTCAATTGAGGTCTAGGCAGAAGAAAAACTTTTTTTCACGATAAAAAAAGGACTCTTCTTGTCCGCCTTTATACTGAGGAGATGTTACAAAATAGTGACATTAGTGTAGGACACAGACTGATTTATGCACAGATGGGTGAACTTGCCTTTTCTTTCTTTTTTTTACTTCTTTATTGCTTTTACAGATTAACAATATTTCCATTTAGTAATTCCTCAGAATTTGTTGAGTGACTTAAGTCAGCCAATTTTCTGTGGACATATACTGTATACAACATCCTAACAGTCTTTATCAGGGTTATTAGCTAGCTGAACTCAACCAGAGTCAAACTGTTAAGCACAAGAGTTTTGGGAAGGTGATCATGCAGCTCAGTTTTCCCTCCAAATGTTTTTTCACACCTGGGTAGTTTGGAAAAGTTGTTCTGAAACCATAGCCCGGTTTGTTCAGACATATGTGAACACAGCAATCACACTATTTTGGCTCCTCAACTTTTTTGATCTATTTTTTATTGAATGGTGCACTGTGCTCTTTTGGCTATCTTGCTCTTTGCTGCCCGTTGTGGATGAATAAAGTTTTATCTTCTCTATATCTTATATTCATACAGTATCTTATCCGACTTCTGAATAACATAATGAGGTGAACTTGCCTTCTGCCCTTCAGATTCCTGTAGAGGTCCAGCAATCATCTCCTTGATGAATTTATGTCTCTTCAGGTTTCAGTCCATACTCTCCATCACTGGTTTAAGATTATTCTCTTTCAGCAGGTGGTCTAGCATGTCACAAGAGCCCTTTTCATGCTGCGAGACACACAGACTCATAAATGTGTCAACACAAGATTTAAAACATAAATACAATAATCCCACATACTTTAATTTCCCACTGAAAGTATACTCAAAATGTATGTACAAACAATTTACAATGTCGAGTTCCTAAAGCTCTTCAGAATTTGACGAGCCACTTAATGTCAGCCAATATACTGTATACAACATCCTAACAGTCTTTATCAGGGTTATTTAGCTAGCTGAACTCAACCCGATGTCAAACTGTTAAGCATAAGAGTTTTGGGAAGGTGATAATGCAGCTCATTCTCACCAACGTTTTTTCACACCTGGGTTGTTTAGAAAAGTTGTTCTGAAACAAAGGGCGTTTCCCCTTTAGCCCGGTTTGTTTGGATGTAAACACAACAATCGCACTCTTTTGATCTGAAGTTATTGAATGGTGCACTGTGTACTTTTTTGGCTATCCTTGCCTTGCTCTGCCCGTTGTGGATGAATAAAGTATCTTCTCTTATTGAGTGACAAAGAGACATAAACAGATCTAGAAATCCCTTCTGCTTTTAAAAGAGGTCCCTGTCATAAAGAAGTACCTCTCATGAACCATGAATTCAATTATTATCTTTGTTTGTTGTATCTAAATCTCTGAATCACCAGGATTAATGGTTAAAACAGAAACATTAGTAAAATCTCATGGAGCTTCTGAAAAGCGGTAACATGTCAGATAAAAAGTTGACATATTATTACCAAAGAAATATGGGTCATTTAGCAACACAACTACAGCTTAAATAGATCATTTTATGAAATGTGCATAATCCATTACACCTGAAGCAAACAAAAAAGAACATCCTGGATTTTGTTTCAAAAGAACAAGCCAGTGTGAAAGGTACATGTGCTTCAGTTTTGCAGTTCCTCTGTATTTCATTTGTTATATTAGAACAGAAATATGAACTTCTTACCTTCCATTCCTCCAATTTCTCCATTTCTCCCAATTTCCCATTTTTCTCATTTCTTTTTTTTTTCCAGTGCTTTGGGGAGGAACATTCCATCATACAGATGGGAAAAGGGTCCATGACCTTGAAATGGATAGATAAATACAGGCGTAATCCACTGATAGTGTACAATTTACAGTCAGTATGTCTTATAAACTGTTTGAGTTGAGATGATTACCCTATCTAAATTGAATATTGCTTACAAAAGACTTTATGTCTGTATGCATTGGACTGTGGTACCGAAACGCCCTCTGGGTTAAATAAAGTTTCTGAGTCTAAATATTATTTTTAAAATTCAGACCTCCAGTTCTTATCAGAGTCCCTTTACAGACCGAGCTACCACCACCTCACCCCACCCTCGTATTTTTTATGTATTAATGCAGAAGCCCTTGCTTTTTTGAAAGATGGAAGGGTTATTTCTGATACATTTCACTTTCATTTTACTCTTTTCATACCCAATAACATAATTTATAAACTATTATATGTAATATTGAAAAGGGATGCATTACTCACCCAGGTCATGACAGAGGCCAGCAATCTGAACACAAAGGACGTCTCTGTCATCGATATCGAGTCTCGGCTGCCTTGACCTGAGAGCCTCAGCAAGTTTTCCTGCTAAGTATCCCACCCTTTTTAGACCACAGAAAACATTTTTTTAAATTATAACGCAGTTATCACAATTTATTATATATATTTTTATTCATATTTTTTATTAGATCCATACTAAGACAGGCACTGTTTTCTGCCTTTATTGGTTTTACAAGGTGCTTATGTGAAAACCATGAGTCTTCTCCTTATTTGGACTGAGGTCACCTGTGGGCTGAAATCTGAAAACTTGCTGACTTACCCGATCGAGTGTTCAAAGCGGTTGTGAGACGCTCCAGGGTAAACAAAGTAGGCACCTCCAAGCTGCTTTATGAATCGAAGTCTCTGGAACTGAGGTGTGTCAATGATCTTGATGAGGAGTGGGTGTAACTCTATGCTACCATGGATGGGATCATTAAACACCTGGCAGAAAACAAACAAACGAAAGCTAAGAACAATGAAATGCATAAAACAATACACCATGGAGACCAGCTCAAGTTTGTCTGAGGGCTCTGGGAGGTATAGCATAAGCATGAAATGAGCCCAAGAATAAAGCTGATGCTACAAAGAATGTTTTTTTGACTTTACCACTGGTTGGGATATTAAACATCTAGTAGAACAAAGAGAACAAAACATTGGACACTGAAAATGTCCTTTCAATACAAAGCGTGTTCCTATTCCTTTTTTTTTAGGATTAAAGGAAAGGAGAACAAAGAGGGTTGGTTTGGATAGTAAAGGTGCACAAAGCTAGCTGTCCTCACCACTGGTGGGGATAATAAGCATCTAGAGAACAAAGCCCTCCCAGTTAATTCGATTTTTAATTTAGACTGATAATGGATAATACATGTACACAGGCTTAACTTTGTGGAGGTGTGTTTGTGTGCGGTTTATTCTACAAGTCGTCATTGTTTGTTCTGTTTATTCTCTCTTATCTCTCCAGCCGCAAAAATGTGTGTGATGTGTGGTAAGACGTGAAGTATTTTACCTTGGTGATGATCGGTCTGTAGAATTAAAAAAAAAACCATTAACAGTATGAAGAAGTGCTGAAACTTCCAACTTAAAATGATTTCTTTATAAAGTTGGGATATTGTAAACTGGTTTAACAAAGACAGAGGTACTCACTGTTCTGCCATTTTGCCCCGACTAGATAAAAGAGAAAGAAGTCAGTCATTTATTAAGTAGTCTAACCTCAGTTTTACACAAGCTAAAAGGCAAAATTGGTAAATTAAACCATCAGTTTAAAATAACGATACAACTTACCAAAAGCCAACCATGAATTTAATCGACTATAACTAGAAAACCAACCTCCAAATTTTCCTCCAATTGTCCAAGTCCTTCTTTTTGTACAAACTTGTTTCCTCAGCTCCCTGTAACTTTGAAAAATCTATCTATATAGTTTTTAATATTTTGAAGCTGTAAGATGTTGCATTTACATCAAGTTAATGTTTCTGATGCTGATCTGACAAGTGGTAAATGTCATTTAAATTTAAAGGCTTTTTTTTATGACGCTCAGGGTTTTAAAACATCTGACATTTATATCTCCACCACACCCATGTTATTGGTCTTCACCCTCATGATCCTCTTCTTTTATTGATATACCAAACATTTCAGAAAACAAAACTGAAAATGCATCAGAATTTCTTAAGTCAAATTAACAAATCTAAACATATAAAGAAGTGAAGAAATGACAGGATGTTAGAAATAAATCAGTATTAGAAGTTACTTCTGAAGAAAAATTAGAGGTAGCGTGAATGTTGCATGTTTAACCTGCTCTTTAGACAGAGATTTATAGTGTACTCCATTTGAGGACTGCAAATATATCAAATGGCCACAAGATGGCAATGTTACTCAACTCTCTATGGTAAAGTGTGCCCTGACCATTTGATGAAATAAATGCTCTGCTGGAGAAAGTTTTAACAGGTACTGATCTTTTTTGTGTTGCTTTTGTCATAACTTTCAGAAAGGAAACATAAGAAACCCTCAGACTGTAAAAGATTTTCTCATTCTATGATGACAAAAATGTTCAGCCTCATGATGTATCCAGAAGCATGTAAAGTCTGTCTGTCTGTCATCATTCTATCCAAAAATAAAAGATGAGACTATAATATGTATATATTGACCTCCAGTAACATCCAGAAATGAGCACATTGCAGATGTGTGTCTATTAGTGCCAGTAGCTCAGTCTGTAGGGGCTTGGGTTGGAACCAGAGGGTTGCCAGTTCAAGTCCCAGTGTGGACCAAATATGGAAGTTGGTCTGGTAGCTGGAGAGGTGCCAGATCACCTCCTAAGCACTGCCAAGGTGCCCTTGAGCAAGGCACCAAACCCCTCCCCACCATCAGCTCAGGAGTGCCCGCTGTGGGCAGCTCCGTCACTCTGACATCTCTCCATTAGTGCTTGTCCATAGGATCCTGTTTGTGCATGTGTGTGTTGCATGGTTAACAGAGTGTAAAAACAGAAATTTCCCCTTGCAGGGATCAATAAAGTTAATCTTAATCTACTTTTTCTTGTGAGATTACTTCTGATTGCAGACATAGAAAGTTGTTCAGGATGATATGACTTTATTCCCAGGTCAGGTATCTTTATAGGGCTTATAAATATCAATTTTTATCATCTAATTTCTGCCGAGGTTTAAGTTTTCTTTTAAACTGAAAGAAGGAGGAGTCAAACTGATTCTCCGTGCAGCAACACAGATCAAACTTAAATGACAAATTGTAATCTCATGTTTGTATAACTATTGATTTTTTTAAAGTCAATGATGTACTAAAACTGTAATATCTGGTACTTTTTTATGCTACTGATTTTGCCATATTCACAAATTCACAAATCAGTACAAAACCACAAAAAACCACAAATCAACATAACGTAAGGACAAAGGAACGCAAACTCTGAGTTCACATGTTTGTACACAGGATCTGATGCTGTTTCAAAAGTTGATCCTCTTTGTAGATGTTGTGAATGATTTTAGCTGATGCCAAATAGGAATATTACAGATCTTGATAAATAATGTCAAACCAATCAGAATAATTTCAAGTAAGTTCCTAATTTTTGTTTTTAAAACTATCATTAATACATGTGTTGTATTGGAAATAATTCATAATATATCAACAAAATAAGAATGAAGTAAGGTGAAAGATCCATTTTACACTCACATGGAGGTTTTTGTTGTTCTCTATAGCAGGTCAGGCTTGGTTTGGATGGAAGATGAAGTAACAGACCTGAGCGCAGGCTTTTATAAAGTTGTGGTTGTGGCTTAAACAGGTGTGGCAAAGAAGTCAGATATCGGGATGCAGATTGGATGGTGTAACCCATTGGTGTTGATCTAGACCAGGAAAGGGCAACTTTGGTCACAGCAAGGGCCACATATATTTAATTCTCACTGTCAGAGGGCCAAATTGTAGGATATTCTTCGGTGGACTTATAATTCAACCAAAGGAAGGAATACATAGCTTTTATCAGCCTCTATGATACCAACATTCATATTTTAACCTCCAGTACAATTGTTAATCCTTAATTTAATGTGCTTACTTCAAAATTAAGTTTCTTTTCCAATGCAATGAACAGAGTATTTACTGGTTATTTTCAAATGTACACACTAGTGTTGTAGTAATCGAAATCAAGACCGGTCTCGAGACCACTGTTTTTTAGGTCTCGTCTTGAAAGTATTTTACTCTGTCTCAGACTGGGCGGACTCCTGATTTTAGATTAAGACCAGTCAAGACCACCTCCGATGCTCCTTTCTAAAAGAACAAATGACTTCAATTCATTTGTAGTTTGATTTATATCTCTTGGTTACCACCGCAACCTTCCTGGTGTTACTGATGAGTGGTGAGTGACACGCCCGCTGCACACATGATGATTTTAAAAGTGATATTTATGGTCTTGGTCTTGACTTGGTCTTGATCCCTAAATGTCTCGGTCTTGTCTCAGTCTCATATCACTCTGGTCTCAGTCTCACATCTACTTAGTATACTTTCATATAAGAGTTTTACAAAAACGCTAACAGTCAATTATATCTCAACTGCATGTGGCCCACCCCTGAATTCTAGATTATAATTTGAATGTAGCCTCATTCTAGGAATCAAAATAAAGGCGCTTTATAGTATTTTGGCGTTGACACTTGCACAAACAAAATGAAAACAAATTCAAGGGTATGAAAGGATTTCTCCATCATAACGTCCCTGCCCTTCCCCAACCGCCTGAGCCCCAGTAAACAGCCTAAAATCCCAGTTAAGTCTAGCTGGTTTTGTTCACTCAACTATACGTTCATCCACACGTGAGGAACCAGAGAGAAAAGCCTCTTGGCCTGCAAGACTCTTTCCCTGGATTGCATTAGTAACTCTTGCAGATATTTGGAATACTTTCCCTTTAGTATAAAGCGTTTGGTGTGTGAGTCCATGCTGTGTAGGGAAAAAGTCAATGAGATTGATAGAAGGCCCACACACAACCTAAATGCTTAAAGCTGCAGCTTCCTGAGCTTCTCGTGAAGGACAGCATTATCATACAGCTTACTGTTCAGGACTCAACTTTCAAACTAAAAATCAACCTTTAGCATTTAATATGTCACGAAAAGGTCAAATAAAGAAAGAGTTATTCAAACTTACTGTCCACATACTCCCCATGGGACTGATAGGATTCATTCCCAATGTAAGCAGCATCTTGACCTCAGCAGTGGTCAGATACTCAGATTAGTTACCTGAGTTATAAGAGACATCTCAGAGGCCCTGAGATGATTATAACTGAGCACATCATGCCAATTTAGAAAGGTAAAAATATTGAGACATCTAACAACTCAGTGACATCAGAAATGTGAGAATGTGCCGACATGAGTTGTTATTTTGTGAGGGATAACGTTAAGGTAAGAATTGAATGTACACCGCACTTTATTCATTGACTCCTGTTTTTTAGGTGAAAAAGGAAAGTTTAAAATGTAGTTTTTAAATATATTTTGGGGAGATAAAAAGCACAATCTTCCACTCTTATGTAAAGCATAAAGATGAACACTGAAGTAAAGGACAAGCACCTCTAAATGATTTTTTCTGCTCAGTATTTTGTCAACAAAACATGTTTTGTTTCTCTGATTGTAAATGACAACAGAATGACTCAACAAGTGTTGAGAATGATAAGCAGTCCCTTAAAACGGCAAAGATTCTGAAATATATAAATACCTGGATCAGGTTGTGTTTTAAGTTGTTTATTTCTTGGACTAAAAGCTCTATGGGGTGGCAGTAGCTCAGTCTGCAGGGACTTGTGTTGGGAACCGGAGGGTCGTCGGTTCAAGTCTGGAGATTGGTCTGGTAGCTGGAGAGGCGCCAATTCACTTCCTGAGCACTGTCGAGGTGCCTTTGAGCAAGACACCTCTCAAGGCGTTTTATAACACATTATCACTCACCCCCCCCCCCCCCAGGATTATTAAAGTATTTCTGATTCTGAAATAAATGGAGAATGCGAAATAATGGAATTTCAAACATGCAAGTAATAATGTGATTAATTCCAATAAACTCTTGGAATCTAGTGATTAATCACAATTTTAAAAAAAAATAATCGTTTGACAGCCCTGAATAAAATGTGAACTTACTCTGAAGTTAAGTGACATTAATTACAACAGTAATAAAGTGTTTTTCATGAAGTCTTATCTGACCCTCTCCTGCTGAGTGTTTTCTTCTTTCAGATGTATTTTCTATTTAAGTTCATGAAGCATAATGAAAACAGTCTGATCTGAAAATACAGCTCTGTATTATGGACTCTCTAGTAAATATATTGAGAAACTTTTGGTCTTTCATAAACATCTTTCCTCAAGTTCTGTGGATTGGGTTTTGAACAAAAAGGAGAAAATGGTCCTGTTAACAATGATTTGTCATTGTTTCATGATGATATTTATCTGAACTCTTTTATCTGAAAGCTGCAACATGTGATTTGTTTTAATCGCTCATCTCCTGCTGCTTCCTGTTCTACAACTAGAAAAAAATGCAAAGTATTCTGCTTTGCAGGTAATTTTGTTACCTACCCCCCCCCCCCACACACACACACACACACACACACACACACACACACACACACACACAAACACACACACACACCAAACAACAACGACACATGAACACTATTGTCAGTCTCTAACAGCATGAACACTAGAAGTAACATCTCCTGCATACAGTAATATGAATGTGTATAAATGTGAACAGCAGCATTACAAACATGTGATCCAAACTCCACACACTGTTTCTGTTGATATAAATGATCACATGATGTACAGTTGATTACTGTGTCCTACAAATAAACTTACATGATGTGATGAAATACGCAATGTCAACGTTAACTCAACCTGTGAAGCATGTGAGGGCAGTCAAAAAACTTCTAAAGAACAGATTAAAATCCATATCAAGTAGTTGGCAGTTATGATGAAGTAATAAATGAGTGTTTACGTCTTTACAGAAGAATTTATATTTGTTGACTAATACTGTAGCAAACACT